ACGTGAACCTGCCGTGACGGTTTGGCTTGTGCACACCTGTGTGGTGGATGTGCCCCGACAACTTGGTTGTGAGCGCCATGCAAAGCGAAAGTCTGTCCAAAGAGTTTGTGTTTAAATTTGGAAGGGTTTAAGTCCAAAGCTCCTGACATGGGGCCATGCTGTGTCAGGTGCGAACTTGCTGCAATGTTCGTATCCTGAGTGCTTCGTAGGGAAGTGCCAGTTTTCCCTATGCTTTGCAATGTTTTGGCTTTGCAGCTGGAGCGCCAGCTGGTTGGAGCTCCAGTGTGGCCCATGCCTTGCTCTTCTATGTTGCTGACACCCCTCCATGTACGCTTCGCCGTAGCAACCGCATATCGCCCTTGTGTAGTGGGGAGGGGTGGTGCGTGCTGCTCACTCGCTCGCTCATGCTATCGCGACAAGCATGATTCATTCGTCAGAAGCTCGATGGTGCCGTCACGAAATCTGATCTTCGCTCAAGGCTGTGTTGACGGTGCATAACCCATCGGAAAGTACATGAGATGCAAGAAAATCTCGGAGCTGGACTCTTGCCGGAGGCTCCGCTGAGCTCGGGCACGACTGTGAACCACGCAGATGCCTCAGGGGCGAAAGGTTTACAGTTCAGGGTTTAGGGCTTACGATTTGGGTTTGTGAATGTTTTTGCTCGAGGAAGGGTGGTGTAGCGCTGCAGTTACAGACTCGGAACTCAGAGCTCATGCACCACCATTTTTCGAAAGATTTCTTCAACCCACGACAGCAGCCTCGGGAACACAGCGAAGCCTAGGCCACAGAAGGTTGAGGTCACGGCCCATGGCCCCCAAAGCCCAAAAGCTTCAATCCCCCCCGAGGCCCCCGTTTCCACTCGTTTGAAGCGCACGAGGTGCAGAAGATCTACGAGTCCTTCACCCCGGAGGAGATCTCCCTGCGCATCGCCCAAGACGCGCAGCCCCAAGACTTCTTCCTTTGTTTTGCCTAGGGTTTAGGTTTTAGGGTTTAGGGTTTTGGGGTTTAGGGTTCAGGGTCGCTCGGTTCGCGCTTGTCAGGGTTGAGGTTTTCAGGTTTGGGCATTTGGGGTTTACGGCCCCCCCTGCCACCCGCGACTGCAGTC